AGAGATTAGTAGTAAAAGTTCCCAATAACTAACAGCTAAGTTTTGAAAGAATTCCTAAAAGGCTAAATGACAGGTTGGTGACACACGATTTCCAACACACATACCGCCTCTCTCAGCGTGGAGTGGGGAAAATGTTAAAATTCCGTGGTTACAAGACACGCTGTTTACATTAAGAAGTCGCAGTCTACAAAACGCGCTTTTAATTTAATCGTTTTCTTCCTTTTTAACGTCGTTGTTTAAAACCACGAGATTTTATCCAAAAATATGTTGTTCTAATTCGGCTGTTTAATACACGCTTTAATGAAAAAAAATTTGTTCTGAAACTCGCTGTTTATAAACCAGATTTTTATCAAACAAAAATTAGTCTTTGAAAAACGATTTTTCTAAATCACATTCTTTTGCAAATCTTTTTATTTAAGTGAAATCATCTGGTTCAACCCACGATGTTTAAAACCTTATATTAATCTCCAGCCCCAGGTTGTTGCATTCACGGCTTGTTAACTGTCCTTCGTTTGCCCTTTCTTCGCTTCCTGCTCTCTCTCTCGTCTTACGCTCTCATCTCTCTCTTCTCGCTTCTGACTCCCTTCATCTGTCATATGGTGCTCCTGCTCTCTCTCTGTCGAGCTCCCTTTATTCGATATTTTCTCTGATCGTTGGTATGGGCTTCTATCATACTACTTTAAGCGAATAAAATTAGGTTAGGTTAGGTTTATATTTGTGAATATTTTGTGTTTGCAGTTTCGTGTTTGTGAAAATGTGAATAATTAGGGTTAGGGTTCATGAATGGGGTATAGGGGTCTTAGGGTTTATATTTGTGAATAAAATGTTGTGAAATAGAAATAATAAATTAGGGTTAGGGTTTATATTTGTGAAATTTTAATTATGATATTTGTTGAATGTGAATGTTGAATGTGTTGAATTTAATTATAGATAATTTTTTGATGTGTTTAATTATAGATAACTCATTTGTATTAATATATGTGGGATTCTCAACGCAGAAAGTCACATGGCAACAGTGAATTCACATGATTTACCTTACGTGATGCAATGCCTTATTTTGTCCGATATGTCAAGGTGCATTGTAAGCTCATGTGATTGGTGCACTGCTTGGTTTTCTCAATTTTTGCTCGATTTTTTTATTACAGTGACAACTCATCTCTTATTGATATATGGTGGGATTTCAATTCAAGAAAGTCACATTCCAACACTGAATTCACTGATTTACCTACAGTGAGCATGCCCTTATTTTGTCGGTATATGCAGATGGATTGTCAAGTCATGTGACTTGGTGCACAGGCTTTGGCTTTTCTCAGTTTTTGCTCAATTTTTTTATTACGTGACAACTCATCTCTTATTGGATATATGTGGGATTCTCAATTTAGAAAGTCACATGGCAGATAGTGAATTCACTGATTACCTTACAGTGAGCATGCCCTTACTTTGTCGATATGCAGATGGATTGTCAAGTCACGTGACTTGGTACACAGTATTTGCTTTACTCTGTTTTTTCATTCTAGTGACAACTATACCTTGTTCGTATATGTGGGATTGTCATACAAAGCATCTTTCTAAAGCCGTTCTCATAACCAACTATATAAACAACTAAAGGTGAAGACACAACCTTAAACTCATTTCGCCCTACGAAATATCATTCATTTGTTTTAAAAAATTAGCATGGCTAAATGGTTCATGGGAGGGAGTGGGAATTGCAGCGGCTGGTAGGAACTTGCAAAAGGGGTGACAGTTCACGACGAGGAGGGGGAGACGCAGTGGCGATGCTGAAGATGAAACCACCATTTCCTTTGTTAGATCGCCTCTTGTGCTTATCATGATAGGTTTGGGAAGCGACATTTTGTCATGCCCAATACTATCGAGATCCATGTGGTTTGGTGGAGGATCTATCGATAATCAAACAGGATATGGTTTAGCAAACACTAGACTTCTGAAGTGGCCCGCACTATTTATAGAGCGAGTGCAAATGGAAAGATTATGTCGGAAAAATCGACTGAAGGTGCCAAAAGCACGTTCTGTTGAGATCCAAAAGGAAGATCCTGTAATGTTGATCGACTATGTGAAAGACTACAACGTTGAGATATTCTCAAATGGGCCGTAGGTTAGCCGCAATATGCAGCTACACATAGTAAGAAGGATGCCCAGAAGAACAAAACAGAACAAGTGTATGCGGCTATCAAGGGTATCATGGCAGGATCCTAAACTTGTCCTCTGAACGCTGAGACTTGTTGGATTATTCAGACTCTGCAGCCACCTGCGATTTCGCAATTTATGCTTTGAGCAGTGAGTTTAGCACTTGATTATCTTTGAGAGATATACTGACTTGATCGTCGGAGTGCCCCCGGGTGGAAGAACCACCGCCGGAGTCTTCTCTTTCTGTGAGGAGCGGGTTGTGACAAATGGTGTCCACTAACCCCATTAATGACCTAAGGCCACCCTTCAAAAAATTATTAATCAATCTCAAAATATTACGTGGCACTTCTTCCGTGGTTACATAGGTCATTACTTATCTCCTAATTAGCCAACTAGGTGAGTCAACATTATTCCAATATATTTGTATCACAAATAAATTTTCGGCCAATTATAATTATAATTAGGTTTAAATTTTCTATTACTTACTACTATTATTATTATTATTATTATTATTATTATTATTATTATTATTATTATGCAGGAAAATCTTGGAGGTTAAAGAAAAGTTAAGATAAGTTTTGAATATTCAAGGGATAGAAGACACATGGCATTGTAAGGAAGAAGATGGACAATTTAGGAAGTTAAAAGTATTTATTTAGGTGGTGGTTAATAGAATTTTTTTCCTTCATTTTTTCTATAAATTACCATTAATAGTTCTATTGTAAAGGACCAACTACATCACTTGATTTGTATTTTTTTTCTATCCCAAGAGTAGATGTAATCTGCATAGGAGTAGTTCAAACTTAAATATGAATAGTCTTAATGTATTTTACTTGTAATTTGATTGTTCATTCAATCATTTACATCGTTTTCTTCTTCTCTCGTTTTCTTTTTCTTGTTTGTATTGCCATTATTTACTACAAGGAATTCCTTAAACTTTCAAGGTATAAAATCTCAACACAATTGCTTGATCATTGTGTTGTTTGGTGAAATTTTAGTTAAGGCTCTATCCATCTAAGCCTAACAAAAAATTTATAAACAATTTTTGGTAAGAAAATTTTTGGTACGCCCAGTGGGACATCATCCTAACTTGGAGGGAAAAAAAAATACAAACAAAATATCAAGAAATTATGCCATCAAGTGGCATGTTTACATCTTGTGCACCTATGGATGCAAACCACCAATGGAGTGGCAATGTTCCAATGGGTATGAATTATTATTGGAATGTTTCATTTTTCATGTATAATGATTGTTAATATTATGACAATGATTCTACCACCTATTGCCAACATAATGGCATGACAAATGAAATGGAAAGAATGATTCGACATGGTAAGGATGAAATTTATTGGTACAAAAGTGAAATTTTGGCCCTACAAAAAGCAATTAATTCTTATGATTGGCAAAAATTTCCAATAATTTCATCACCACCATATTATTTGATGCAAAAATATATAAATTACTTTGATGGAGAAATTAACATTGGAGTAAAAAAAATTAGAGAATCTTAAAAAGTACAAATTTTATGAGTTGCTAAAAGACATTTCCAAGCAAAACTTTCTATCCACAAAAGTCATGGCCAATGAAAAATTAGGTTCTGAAAATGGTATGTCTAGAGGGCAATTTTTGAAGCCATTAATTGAAAAAGATATCGAGCATTTTAATGTTAACAATCTAATTAGAGGGCATGGTTTCAAGCTAAATAATGGTAAAAATCCAATTGGATAGCATGATTTTAAGCCAAACATGGCTAAATTTGATGAACAACCATCACAAAACGATGATGAAAATCCAATTGAGTGGTATGATTTTAAACTAAACATGGCTAAAAATTATGAACGACCCATATTTGATGAATTTGAATTTTTTGACATTGTTAATTTTATCAAAAAATTTAATTTTCTAAAGTCAATTGACATTGTGATTTCTGTCATCCAACAACCACAACGGCTTTGTGGTTCATATCAAAAATTAATTTTGATGAAATGGTTTACAAAAATAAATTATGAATTTCATTTATATTTCTTATATAAGAGTAATGGGGGAGTACTTCAATGTGGCCAAAACAACAAAAAACTATATATATATGGCCAATCGATTATAATTTTCATAGTTTATATTATATATTTATGTTCATTCAACTCTTCAAGAATTTGAGTACTCTCATTCTTAAAGAGTTGGGGAAGCATTGTTTGCATCATAAATAAATTTTCCGTCGATTATGACTAAGTTTAAATTTTCTATTACTTCTTCTTCTTCTTCTTATTATTATTGTTATTATTATGCAGATAATCTTGGAGATTAAAAAGAAGTTAAGGCAAGTTTTGAAAATTCAAAGGATGAAAGACACATGTCATTGTAAGAAAGAAGATGAAAAATTTAGGAATTTAAAAATAGTTATTTAGGTGGTAATTAATGGAAATTTTTTCCTTCATTTTTCTATAAATTGGCTCTATTGTAAGAGACCAACAAATCAATACATGACTTGATTTACATTTCCTTTCTATCATAGGAGTAGATATAATTTACATAGGAGTAGTTCAAACTTAAATAGGAGTAGTCTTAATATATTTTATTTGTAATTTAATTGTTCTTTCAATCATTTACATCATCATCATCTTCTTCTCTTTCTCTTTTTCTTGTTTGTATTGCCATTATTTTTATACCAAGGAAATCCTTAAACTTTCAAGGTATAAAATCTCAACACAATTGCTTGATCATTGTATTGTTTGGTGAAATTTTAGTTAATGCTCTATCAATCTAAGCCTAACAAAAATTTTACTAACACAATCATAAATGGGATAATCATAAAGAAAATAGTAGTATGGCTTGGAATCATCACTACAATTAACAAAGACAATTTTCAAATTCATAACAGTAATAATAGTTACAGCATGTGAAGTTTATGTGATTTAGCTAGTCTTTCGCAGTCTTAACAAACAATGACTATCTTTTCAAGCATTAATCCACAAGAAAAGAACAGATGCATGAGCTAAACACCAAGGCAAAAGTTTGAGGAACAAGCAACACAAAAGGTCCTTATGTTTTAGCAACCATTTTTCTGCAATAACCAAATTAAAAGTGAAATGAAGATATCTCCTTTCGCTAAACACTGCCATTCATCTGGTGATTTCTGCTGAACAATCAACAGACGGTATGGAATTTTTCAACCTCTTTGCTGACAGCTTGAGAAGAACTATTGGCATTTGATGTCCCTTCTTGTGAAGTGCTACCAAATTCTGCAGATTGAGAGAAACCAGCCATCTCTTCAGCCATTGCCGAATCATCCATTGAATAAGGGGCACTGGGTGAACCACCAACTATCTTAGACTCTTTCCTCAAGAATTTTTACAACCTCAGACATGGGGCGCCTGAGTGATGGGGATGGGTTAGTGCACGACATTGCTAATTCCAATATTGTATTTGCTTGCTCTGAGGAGTAGTCTGACCCTAAGGACGGATCAACTAATTCTACAAGATTTCCTTTCTGTTGTAAAACATATGCCTGTCATACATTAAACCGAGTGTTGTAGTTAGAAGGCATTATTTAAATAGAACACAATAAACAATTCTCTCTTCATAATACTAACCCGTTAAACTTTTAGCAATACACACACAGAAGATATAAATAAATGTAATTAGTAGAGTTATTGGAGTTTGTGTGTAGTTTTGGCTCACCAAATCTAAAAGGTAAACATTCTCATCATTTGGCCGATAACTGGTACTGTTCTTGCCACTGACAATTTCCAATGTGACAACTCCAAAACTATAAACATCTGCCTTATTTGTTAAGTGACCTCTCATGGCATACTCAGGAGCCATATATCCACTGCAAAAGACTTCTATGAGAATGATATGCATTCATCTTGAAAATAAATATGATTCCTAAAATAAGAAGTCATTTTTTTTTATTATGAGAATACCAATCTTCTATTACAGGAGATAATTTGCGATATGCAACATAGAGAGAGAGAGAGAGAGAGAGGGGTTATCCCTTACGTGGTTCCTGCTATTTTAGTGACCACATGTGTCACTTCCTCCTCATAAAGCTTAGCGAATCCAAAATCAGATATCTTCGCATTAAAATCCTTGTCAAGAAGAATGTTTGTTGGCTTAATATCCCTGTGAACAATTTTCAATTTGGATTCTTCATGTAGAAAAGTCAGGCCTTTTGCGATTCCAAGACAAATTTGAACTCTGGTGGGCCAATTTAGTCTTGACCTCACCTCATTTGGACCTGTAGATAAGCCGATTTATAAAATTTATTTTATGTTATCAAAAAAAAAAAAAGGCAAAGTATTTTTTAAGGAAGTTCAGAGAACAGCTTGTCCTATTTACCAAACAAAGCATGCGCAAGGGAGTTATTTTCCATGAACTCATAGACAAGAAGAAGTTGGTTGTCTTCTGCACAGCATCCCAGTAACTTTACAAGATTTGGATGTTGCAGAGCAGAAATAGTTCCTACTTCATTTACAAACTCATGGATCCCTTGCCCTGATTTAGATGAAAGTTGTTTAACTGCTATTGCAGTTCCATTCAGAAGTACACCCTGTAGTCATGCAACAATTTTTTGGATTAAAAGCAGCATGGATGTAAAACTGTATATGCTAGCCCAGGGTGTTAATATTGTTGAGTTCACCCATGTGGATAGAGGTAGCTACCATTGTTGACATTGGTTGGCATGAATGCAGAGTAGCCACCAAGTGTTGACAATGGTGGGAGAGAAGCTAGGGAGACAAGCTGCACGTAGGGAGGTGGCAAGTTAATGCTTTCATATGGGAGTGGGATGGACGGTGGTCTCCAACTCCCTCTATATATTGAGTTAGCTTGCAAGAGGTAAGAACAATACACAAGTGAGTCAATAGTAGGGACACACAAGTGAGTGTGTATCTCTGTGAATGTGAGAAAAGAGCTGAGAGTGTAAGACAGTAGAGAGTGTGTGTTGAGTGAGAGAGTCCACTCCTCTGTTGTAATCTCTATTTGTTTTAATGGAAATCTCTTGTTCTCTCCGTGGACGTAGGCATTGAGGCCGAACCACGTAAATCTTGTGCGTCATTATTGTGTGTTTTATTTTTGGTAGTTCAGACGGGTTAGCCTTAAAACCCAACAAATACAACATGACAAATATATTGATAATTGCAAATATGGGTGCAGGATACTCGGTTGACATGGTTGTTCCCAGAAATTCCTTCTAAACCGATGTATAGGTACAAACACCCACTGGCAGGTCTGTTTGGTTTGTATCAGTTGTAAGTTTTGGTTTGGGTTGGAACAGAGTTTTTACCTAATAAAACTTGGGTTATTCATTAACAAATGTGAAAATTCTTGTTATAAAGAAAAATCTAACAAAAGCCTCAATATAAAAAAAAAAAAACTATGTGATGGAGAAACGATAAACATTCCCACTTTGATACATAATATAACAGATGAATAACTGAATAAGAGATCTGAACGTCAATTGCAGATATTACAGTCAGTGTCAATTTGGTTTAGAATTTTATCAAACACTTGGCTTGTTACATTAAACAGTGTGCATCTGCACCTAGTAGTGTGAAAAAACAGATTAGATGATGCAAACGTACCCGCAAAATATTGTCAATATAATTATTTAACTACAATCATTCAGTAAGAAACCATGACAATTTAAAACATATAGCGAAGAAAAATAATGACATCATTTAGGTGATAAATTGTGCTCGCTTGTGCATAGGAGAGCATGCAAATTTTACTAGATGTATATTTCAAAGGATCAGAAGCAAGTATACCCTATAAGAAACTAATATGAAATATAATATACGCTATAAGAAACTAATATGAAATATAATAAACCTTCCATAGATTTTTCTGCAAAAAGAAAAGAGGGACTATAAAAGATTTAGAGGGACATATATCAGATTTTAGAGGGGACATTTTGATTTTTCTTTTATAAAAATAGCTAGAATTAAAATTTTAAGTAGTTGAGAAGGGCAGTTGCCTCTTGTGGCTCAGCCACTGCATACCCCTATTACTTGGTTGCAGACACTTCTTCATCAACGACCCCAACCAAAGTTCAACTAACATGATCTATGTTAGCTGGAACATCGATCGTTTCCATACATGGAATGGGATTGGGAACATCTGCATTCTCTAAAATATGGTATGATAAGAGTAGTCTACTCTTAGGATAAGAGTAGACTTTTCTTTTGAAATTATGAGTATTATGATCCATTTTTTTATGTTTTGTCATACCAAAACTCCACTCTGCTTCCATTTTAGTTTATTATATTTGATTTGTTTTCCCTTGTAAGGTAACTTTCAAGGTATATATTGGAAAATACTTTGGGCATGGCTTTGGATTGCCAAATTCAATGTTTTGGAATGAAAGTTTACCATGTTTTCGAGCGGTCGTTCCAAAATGTCAATTGCTTGAGTATTAATGTTTTTTAGTAACACAGATCTAGAGTAATCAGAAAGATAAAAAGATCTAGGATATAGTAAAAAAAAAAAAAATTAATTAAATTTGAACCTTGTAGACAGATCCGAAACCCCCTTCACCTAGCTTCATTGCAGGGCTGAAATTTTGTGTGGCAGCTTTTATTTGTCGAGCATTGAAAAACGAGCCAGATAATAACTCCATACCTTTAAGTTCTGTTTAAATACATAAAAGTCAGGGGAAAAAAAAAAAACGAAAGAACAAGAAAATCAGTACAAAGATCATTATCGACATGCAAACTGATGTCAAGGTTATAGTCATGGAACTCATGGAAACTGAAGTTCATTATCATTTGTCATTCTTACCTTCATCATGCAATCCTTTCTTCCGAAAGCAGCCCAATTCCCAGAGCAATAGTAAAGCTAATGCAACGATAAGTAGTGCAGATGCTACAATCCCAGCAATAACTAGAGGAGAGAGTTTATCTTTCACACGATGTACAGAAATACCAGATATCAAAGGACCATATTGTGAAAATCGGTAACCTGTAGAGCCTTTGCCAGCCCAATATAAGTGAATCTCTAGTTGGCTGTTATTCACATGAACTTCAAACTCTTGAGTGATACTCTGGTCAACACCCTTAGCCTGTTCTACTATATTGAAATTTGTCATTACCTGTTTGTCCTGTACACAGTAATCAACTTTCAATACTATATTTTAAGATAAAAACTAAGAAGCACACACTTCTAAGAAGGTCATGTGTCGAGTCTAATACTGTGTTAGACATCGATACGACACGACACTCATTGGACACTTTTCAACATTTAAATACACGTGAAACACATTAGAATTTTGAATATAATTACTTGGAATTAGGGGTGGACCTACATGTTGTTGAGTGGGTTGAACCCACTAAACTTTGAAATATGTTTAGGATTATATAGTGTTATGTAATGTTTTCGAGAGGTTTTCATAAATTGACAGTACTAAAATTATTACACAATTAAATATAATGGTGTTACTTTTTTAAAAGAAAAATGATTGTAAATAATTTTTTTTCACATAGAATATATTTAGAATGACATGTCAATGAGATTTTTTAAAATATAAGAATAATAATTAGTCTTCTGATTAAAAATGAAGAGACAATAAGAAGTGCATAAAAATTCTATATTTACGTATTAGTACTCTTTTTTTCTTTTTTCTTTTTTTTTTTAAATTTTTTTAAAAAAAGTGATCATTCGTTTCAATCATGAGATACTTAAAGTGTTTACAAGTTGTTTTTCTTTTCCTCACGTGACGACTCATTTTGTCTTTTTTCTCACTCTCTTTGCTCAATTGATTATAAATCGTAGTGTTGCTGTCGTTAGTTTCATTGAATCAATAGTTTATTAATGTCCCTAAATTTTGTTGTACATGTTATTTAATAAGTTTGAATTATTTTTGTAATGTTATTATTAAAATTATATTTTATTACAATGTATTATTGTATATTATATGAAAGTTTATTTTGAAAACATTTGTAGAATGGTGAAGTTGTCATCTAAACTTGAGAGAGTATTTGCACTTTTGGTACCGATTTGGGTGATTTGAACCATTCACTTTTTAAGACTCGTTGAGTAGGATATTCATATAAAAAAAAGTAGATGTTGGACATTGATAGCTATATGTTTGAATTATATTTGTTTTACAAAATTTGACAACAAATATAATTTCAAGAATAGGCATCCATTTTTTGTAATACAAATTTGATCTAAACATATAGCTACCAATGTCCAACCATTTTGATTTTTTACATGAATATATTCTATTCAACGAGTCCCACAAAGTGAATAGTTTGTTTGGATGACCGAAATCGCACCCAAAATGGGTCTGCCAAGCCCAAACGCTCTTTCTAGTTAAGATGATCACTTGTGAGAAGCCAGACCCACTAGAAATATGAAATAATGATATCGATGATAACCAACTGAATGACCCCATTAAATCAAATTTTTGACTACAGCACTGCTTGGATCCAATGCTAAAATAGAAAATATGTAAATAAATATCTATTATTATGTTTTAAACTTCAGAAATTATTATATTTGACTTAAATATTCATAAACAAGACACACAATAATTATACATAATAATTCCTTGTATAATATATTTAAGTTGATATATTTTACATGTGTCATCCACATGTCTTTGTCCATGCCCGTACTTCATAGGTTGCAATTTTTGTTAAAAAGTACCAACAACTACCAAAGGTATATAGACTCTGTTAAGTTTAGGTACCTGAATTTTCACATTGAAAATTCGCTTCAATGTGCTGCTAAGCTTTGTCTGATTAAGCCCTCTCTGTTGATTCCATGCTATTTCAGCAAAGTGAAGTTTCACAATGTAATGTCCATTTTTTAAGCAAAATCCATAGTACTTGAGGGATATGGGGGCAATGCGCGCAGTACTGTACAATATTGCATCGGACATGTTAAGGTCACATGTTTTATAGCTTAGGTACTTGCTTTGGGATGGGGATGGGGATCGGAATGGGGATGGGGACCACCAGCCAGGGTATGACTCAGAAAAACTTCCCATACTACTGTATCCCCATTTTTTATTAGGACTCAAAAAGAAATGCGAAGAACCTCCAAGAGTTTCATTATCAGCTTCATATTCAGTTCCATTGATTGATGCTACTCCACCGCCACAATTTATGTACAGGTGATCATCTACAACAGATTTCACAGATATCAACTACCTTTTCAATGCAATTTCGTTTGTTTGTGCTCTAAAAATAAAAAGAAATGAAACATATCTCAGCATTTAATAAAAGAGAACACACATATATATCTAGCAGAAAATCTGTGGTAAGAACTTAATGATCTGACTATTGTAATCTTTATTTAATACAATTTTAAATAAAAAAATTAACAAAAATAATGATACAAGTCAAACTAAAAACTTCATTTTTTTATACATATCAACTTATAAAGCTGTCAATGTGTTTTTTTCAAAAGTATAAGAACATGGATTATAATGAAGTAAACCAGTACTACACTTGAGCGATAATTTTGCTTTTGATCCATTTTTTAGAATTTTATCTTCAAATGATAGAATGTGTTGCCATTAACGTCGTTTTATAAATATTAATAATATGCATTTTTCAACGCTATTAGTGCAAATTAATATTTGACTATCAAAAATGAAAAGGGCAAAATTCACTTTATTCCCTTGTGGTTTGGGCTCGGAGTAGTTTACTACCCTATGGTTCAAATACAGACAGAGAGACCCCTTGTGATTTTGGATTAAAGTGCAACTGCTATATTTTCTGTCCAAATTAACAGAATGTGTAATACACACGCTATTTTTGAGAGTGAGCATGATTTTTCTTATAAATAAAGTGAAATTAAAATAATTAAAAGACAAAACTACCCCTATCTTCATCTTCTATCTTGATACCTTGAAAACCCTAACCCCACAAAACCTAATCCGAACCAAACCCACACTCCCTCCTCCAAGCCACCTCATCTACCACTCCCTCTACCCACCCCGACTACCACTGCAATTGTTTCTTTCCTTTCCAGCCCCATCACTGCCCCTTTGTGAAGCTTTTCCAAACAATTTCACCAACCACTAAAGAAACCAACCTATTATCACCGGCATCACCTTCCACCACCACCAAGATATAAATCCCAAACTCATCAACTCCATCAAAGCGAATACATATATACACAATTGCATATACATATAAATATATAGACAATTTGCTTTCTGAAAATTTTTGGGAGTAACACCAAAGCTAGAGACAAGACTCAACAATTGTGTGTATTTTCCATTGCAAATAAGTTGTAGCTCAATTTAAATTTGATCTATAAAATTTGATTTTGTTGATATGGACTGTTAATTTTTGGTGGAGAGAGATGGGTTTATGTATACTGGTACTGGATATGTATATAAAATTGTGTTTGTATATGTATGCATCGCATGTTATGTGTGTGTTGTGTGTTTGGTTGGATATGATGTTAGATCTTGTTTATTCTGTAGTTTGAGACCTAACAGAAACTTCGGGATTTTGTTTCTTGATTGCGTTTTGGTCTTAGCTCTGTTTCAGTCATAGCCTTTCGTATTCGTAAAAATCAATTCTGACCTTATTTTTTGTGAATGTCAATTTATGTATGAATCAAATTTGTATTTGATCTACATCCAACATTAGATATTATATTTGTTAGGTATTATATTTGTATTTGTTATATTTGTTGGATGGGAACAAATGTTATACACTGTACATATATGTTGGGTTGTAAATATATGCAGATTGTGTGCATATATATCATACTAAAATTAGGTTACAAAATTCAGAGTTAAGATAATAATTAGGAATTCAGTATTAATATTTGGTTTTGGTGTCAATTAATATTGATTTAAGTTAGAAATTACGTGTATAATAGATAAGAAAAGTTTGAGAAGAAAAAAAGCAGGGGTATTAAAGTTATTTCACATTTTTCATTGACGGTGTAATGTAGTTTGGTCCAAAAGCATAAGGGGTTTGTCTGCCTATATTTAAACTGTAGGGGGTAAACTGCTCCATGCTCAAACCACAAGGGGGGTAAATTGAATTTTTCCCAAACCAAAAAAAGGGACTTTTGGAGAGAGGTCCCTCAATCTCTATCTTTTGATTGTTTTGTTTTTTTTTTTGTTTTTTCCATAAAGGACAAAGGTCAAAATATGAGAAAAACACCCTCAAGTGAAATTTTACTATCCTCTCCTCCCACCAATGCCAACTGATACTAACCACCACCTCCAACGGCCATCTTTGGCCTATGGTGACCATTTTGTAGTGATTGTTTTTCTACCATCGGACTTCGGCAACTTTTTGACGAGAATCTCATGCGACCATTTTCTGACAACTTTTCCCACACTGTTCCACCAACTCCTCCCCTCTGACTAGGGCTGTGCAAAATACTGCCTAATTCACACCTATTTGCCCACTAATCACGGGATATTTTTATCTGCGGTTTGAAATTTATAATCTGCATTCGAAATTGCTCTGCTCCACTATAGTTAATAAATAAATAAATATATATATATATACACAACTCTAATGAAATATCAAAAGTAAAAATCAATGTAAGAGAAATTTATGATGTGGAATTTGTTACAAATTGTTGTTATATATATGAAAAGTATTATGTAAATTAGTGTTATATATTATGCAAATGCTTGATAATTGTATAAGATTATTCTTCAGTCAATTAACAAATTGAAACCGCCAAACCATGATTTGGTTATTTGTCAACCGGCTATTCACTGTTTGGTTTATACTTTTACCCCTACCTTTGACAGCCTACAATGGCCACCACCTCTAAAAACTCTCCCCATCATCACACTACTGTTGCCACACCACCACAACCACTCAACAAACTACAAATAAATAAATAAATAAAAAATAAATCGCAAAGAAAAAAAAAACACATAACATGAATAAGTATTGTGAAAGTAGATATTTCGTAAATAAATACTAGTGGAGAAACTTGGTTGTGTGATAAGCCATAATATGAATAACAAGTTTTGTTATTTCTGTAAGATTTCTAAATAATAATCTATATATTCAATTGTGTTTGTAATACAAGAGGACATTGGTTTATATAACAATCTAACCTTAAGACTGAAAAGGAAAGTAAAACATTTACTTAGTCCTGTAGAATATATACAAAATATATACTTTCATATATACATAAACCCTACTATTCTCACACCCCCACTCAAACTCTGTTTTAGCATAAAACACTGAGAGTTTGTCAAGACGAAACTGAAACCGAGCAGTGGTGTGAGTCTTGGTAAAGAAATTAGTAAGTTGCAGAGTCGAAGTGACAAAAGAAAGTGCGATAGAGCCAGATTGCAGATGCTGAATGACAAAGTAACAATCAATCTCAATGTGCTTCATCTGTTCGTGAAAGACGGTGTTATGGGCAATCTAAATAGCACTTCGGTTGTCACAGTAGAGAGAGGACAGAGGGACACCCAAGTCAGATAAGAGACAACAAAGCTAGACAATTTCAGTAATAGCACGAGCTATAGCACGATACTTAACTTTGATAGTAGAACGGGCAACAACTGTTTGTTTCTTGCTTTTCCATGTAGAACAAAGAGGTGGGGCCTACATTAGAGTGACCAGGGTTGGCTTTCAGGCACTTGGGAACTTGATTGGTGTGGTGGAGTGACCCAGCAAGCGGTCTGGGAACCGGGAGCAAACCCTAAAAGATAGTATCTCGGAGATAGCGAAGAATCCGAAATAAAGCAGCCCAATGTGTAGAACGAGGAGCAAAAATGAACTCACTAACCACATGAACAGCATAGGCAAGATCAGGACGAGTGGTAGTCAGGTAAACCAAGCAACCCACAAGCTCTCGATATAAAGTAGAATCATCCAGATGGTCACCATCAGTAGTGTTAAGTTTCACATTAAGCTCAATGGAGGTATCAAAAAGCTTGAGAGAAAATGATAAAGAGTACTAAGTCCATATGCCAAAAGGCAACATAACCATCATAGCGAATGCGCCAGCATCATATGCCTTTGTGTCAATAGCCATCACAGCCAATGTGACAGCCACAGCCGTAGTCGTAGCCATAGCTGTAGCCGTAGCCTCTGTAGCCGTAGCTGCAGCCACAGCAGCAGATGCATTCCAAACAGTTTAGCCAGCACAAACATGTGCAAGTATGTTGCACACATCCGCACAAATTATTCAAGCATGTGTAGGTGCAGCTGTAATAGTGAAGGTGGTTAGATGAACAACTGGATCAGAGTAAGTTGGAGTTAGTTATGTACACTTGACCATCAACTAGTAAAAATATCTGTAACTGTTCAACAATTGATTCATTCAATAAGATTTCTATTTCTTGTTATGGTATCAGAGCCACTATAAGTTCTCACGAGTGGAGGTCCAACAATGGTGATTTCATCATCTTCATCTTCGTCTTCTTCTCTGCCTCGTAATCTAAGTCTTCTTTTGTCAAATTTTAATTCTCTCATAACAGTTAAGCTTGACTTCACAAATTTCCTTATCTGGAAGCTCCAACTTTAAAATGTGCTTCGTGCTACTGATCTCGTTGGATTTGTGACTAGATTGATTCCATTTCCAGCACCAGAGATGCTTGATTCCACAGGAAATGCCGTGCCAAATACAGAATTTGCAAAATGAAAGACCATAGACACACATCTTTTGAGCTTTTTCACATTGACTCTTTCTTCCCCTATTTTCTCTTCAGTTCTTCATCTTCAATACTGTTCTCAAGTCTGGATTGCTCTAGGGAAGAGATTTACCACTCTATCTCTTGATTTCACATACATAAACTAAAGAACAAACTGCAAACAGTTTCAAAGAAAGGATTGTCAATGTAGGAGTATCTAACTTAAATCAAAGAAGTCTCAAATCAACTGAGTCTTATGTCTACAGCTGTTGATGATGAGGATCTAGCGCTCCTCATTTTCAATGGCTTACCAGGCGAGTATAACACTTTTAAAACTATGATTCGTACTAGAGTTGACACCATCTTTACGGAAAAATTGAGTGCACTTTTGTGCTCTGAAGCTATCCATATGGAGAACAAAACTAAGCTTGCTCTTAGTAAGGAACCTACAATTGCTTACACTCAACCAAAGGATCTGAGTCTGGTTCTTTGTCTTATTAGCACTATTCCACACATAGAGGTCAATCCTCCAATTATTATG